AACTTTATATATTAAGTACCTAACTGAATTTATGATTTTAGGATTTAACAAAAAGTTATTCAATAAAAACTTGATTTTTTATAGCAACTTACGAGATTACTAAAAAATGGAACCATTGAACAATAAATTTTCTGGATAACGTTTTATTTTTATTATTTAATATTTTATTTAACAAAATGAAATTATTGGCAAATAAAGAAATGAGTTTAATTAAAATGTCTTCATCCCACATTGATCGTGAGAGTAAACAAGAGAATGTATTCTCGTCTATAAATAGGAAAGGTTGTGAAATATTTTAAAGGGACTAAGCCATGAGCTCTTCCTTGCATCTAACTTTGTAGGACGTTGAGTGTATTATGTGGTGAGATTGTCTTTGTCGACAAGTGACCAATTAAATTTCAGAATTTCGAAAATGATTTTGGACCGTATTTTTTAGATTTGGATCGAGTTTAATAAGGATCCGAGTGTCTTCTGGCTAAGTTAGGCAAACTCGCTTCCATTGGAGGCCGAGTTTAAGTAACATGCCGAATATTTGGTTGTGTTAGCCAAGTTTTACAACCCTGTATGTAATACAATTTAAAATTTTAACCCTATAAAAGACGTCACTATTATCATATGTTCTACATAATTATGGTAATATTTATGATACAAAACATTTTTTTTACTATTTAAGATAAAAGGTTGTCTCTATTATCATATGTTGTACAGAATGATAAAATTTAATATAAACAAAAAGATGTCTCTATTATCGTATTTTCTACATAATGACAATATTTAATATAAACATTTTAATTTAATATGAAATTTATTATTTAATAGATAACAATAACGATTTATTTATTTTTAAAAATTAATTTTTTTTCTATTTTAATCATATAACCTTATCTCTTATAATATAGTTCAAGATAATAACAATACTAAAAATCATTTTTTATATTTTTTATGAAATTATTATTTAATTGTTAATAATAATGATTTAGTTATTTTTAATATAATTTTTTTTTATATCCCACGCAACGCATTCGCCTAGTATAAATATCTTCGTATCAAGTCAAAACTCCAAAGGCAATTAAAGATGTATAAAGTAAACGCAAACTGTTAAAACTTCATTCCATCTTTTAGTAGCAATTACACCCATAGATCATGGATCAAGCAACAATCCAAGGACTGATTTTTTTTTTTTTCTAATTCTAGTATTTTTATTACATTTTATTTCAACGAAAAAGCAGACTAGAAAAAGCACTTTCTACATGACTCCATCCTCCTCTGCAAAAACACATCACACAAAAAACGATTTAATTAGTTATAATCTCCATCTCATGAATCATGTACAGCTATAAAAATCTCCAAGCATTACATTTACAGATCTGTTATGAAATAATGAACGGATCTGCTAAAATGCGAAAAATAAACCGTTGAAATATGTTAAAATGAACGATGAGGTTTAATCGACCTTCAGAAAACTTGAAATATGATCCAGTGATCTATGAGACTATGACATCTTAGATCGTTACTTTAAATGCTTATTGCACAAATTTTGTGCAGAAACAGGCGGAGTTTGAAAATTGATTTAAAAATATGCAGATCATTCGTGTCAGTAAGATTATGTGAATGAGAAGTGAATATGTGTAAGGGAAAATTAAAAGATCTGAATATATATGAATACCGATTCGAGATCGAAGAGGATGAGCGATCATAGTGATCTAATCGCTGTCGCTGCTGCTGCTGCTGCCACCGTCGTGGTGGTCGCCTTCCTTCTTCTTCTTCTTGTCCTTCTTCTTCTTCTTCTCATGACCTTCGCCGCTGTCTACCTTGCTCCCGCCATCTCCGGTGATCTTGTCCTTGATCTTATCAACGATCCCTTCCTTTTTCTCCGGCTTGTGGTCAGACTTATAGTCTCCCTCCTGTTTCTTGTGGTCAGACGAATATTCACCTTCGTGCTTCTTGTTCTCGTCCTTCTTATCGCCTCCGATGTGGAGTGCGTCTCCGATCTTGCCCATGATTCCGGCCATTCTGATCGCTTTTCACAGGAGTTGATTTAACTTGATTTGTGTAAGAAGATGGTTTGAGCTATTACTCCCACGGGATGTGCATTTTATAGGGAAATACGAAGACTACAAGTGTAAGGTAGAGACTAGAGAGGGGGTGAATTTGAAAAATATCTGATTTCATTTAATTTAGCATTATCCGTTTTCAATTACTTGATAAACCGACAAATCCATTGGTTTTTAATTGGTTCATTTTTTATTCAAGCAAAAAGATTATTTGTGTCATTTATATGTCTTTAATCTTTTCTTTAAGAAACCGATGATTTTTAGTTGGTTCTAGGTTCTCTTTTTGTAAAAAAAAAAAAGTATTCTCTATTTTAATAAAATACATTTTTGATTGCGTATAATAACTTTTATTATAGGTAATACCGACTCTTACTTAATCATATGCATTGGTAACATGATTTTTTAAAACATTGATTTTAATATATATTTTCTAGAATATAATTTTCTTCTTTTACAAATACTTTACTCTAGACAACAATTTAAATTGAAACAGGAAGTTGACGAATGTGACATTAGCAAATTGCTTATAATTTTTTTTAATTTAACCAAAAAAGTAGCATAAATAATAATTTACTACTGCTTTTACGAAAATGACAAAATATATTTATTATGTTGCCACAAATAATTAAAGAAAAAAACATCATTTTTGGTCCATGTGTTTTCTTTGAAGTTTAGTCCTTAAGTATCAAAAATTCTAGAGATAGTCCTTGTGATTTCAAAACTTTTAATGTTTGGTCATTTTTTCTAACTTCATTAGCTTTTGGTTGTTAACTACTATTTGATTATTATATTCGAATGACATTTTCGTCATTTTATTACCACAGTGACCATTTATGATGTTTTGTCTTATTTAAAAAAACTATTATTTAATTTTCAAATGGTCTCTCTCTCTCTCTCTCTCTCTCTCTCTCTCTCTCTCAAGAAGAAAGTCAACCCCATATACCCATCTTCATTCATCCCTAACCCGGTTTCCCATTGAAAGCAAGTGTGTGTGTGTTTCCAGAACTACATTTCATGGAAGAAATCAAAGCTTTACCTACTACCCTAATCAAGAATCCCCCAACTTTGTTAATCTGCCCTAATTCATATCATATCAGTAGCCAACATTCTAGCAAATACATTGTCAATCACATTAGATAGATCCAAAATTAAACCAATCAATAAGATAACAAATCCATTTTTAATTAGATTAATATATCCAAATCAATAAGATCAGCACCACCGTAGTTTGGATAAATCATCTCAAATATGCTCAAATTATGGTCTAATCTCCTCTCCACCTCTAAATGTTCCTCCATATCACCTTCACTTGACCCACCTTTTCCATCATCTTCGTCATTTCCAGGAGAACGAAGTCTGATCAACCCTTTCACCGATCCATACCCATCAACACCCCATTCTTCTTTCGCCATGTCAACTAAAACCTCTAGAGATGAAGAAAAAGTTGGTGTAGAGAGTACAGAAGGAGTAACAGGGCATGGAGAAACCAAAAATGTATTTCGTTTGTCATTTCCTTTCTTCCCCTTCCAGTTTTTGTTGTTTCGTGTGCCTATAGGTTTTGAAGAAGACGAAACAAAACCAGAAGTCTTTGTGTTCGGATTCTGGAACTTCAGCTGCTCCGGTAGCGTCGACGGCCACATCTCGTAAACGGTCACCTCGACTGTTCAACATCCCCTGAGACATGATTGGAAACTACCACCACTGCCAGTGGTATCGATTCCTATAACCGATTCGCAATCCAACGACAACTCTCCGACGAGATTCAATAGTGGGTTTTTATTTCGGGGGGTTAGCTAACTGTGTAGTTCCATGTCGGAGGTGCTTTGGTGGTCGAGCTCTACGGTGGTAATGGAGTTTCAATGTTTTTGGAGGTGAGGGATAAAGACAAAGGTGGGTGGGTGGGTTTACTGGCGAGAGAGTGAGTGAGAGAGAGAGAGAGAGGGAGAGAGAAATAGAGAGAGAGAGAGACCCTTTGAAAATTAAATAATATATTTCTTTTTTCTTTTTTTTTAAATAAGACAAAATTGTTGGGTTTTATGTACTATAACATTCCTATGGTGTACATACAACCCTAATAGCTTTGGATCTAAGTTTTCTCTAGTTATACATGCAACAAAATTTCCAAAGCTTGAAACCTACAACTAGCATATAATATTGGTAATTGAAACATAAAAGTAAGTTATAAGAATACCTCTTAATTGTAGCTTGTAGGAGTTGGTCTTTCAAGAGCCTAGCACCTCAAGTGTGATGCATCAAATGTCTTATAACAAACCAAGAACAAGAGGGGGAACTTGAGAGAGAGGTTTGGAGACACAAAAATCATCAAGAGCTTCTTGGAATCACTAGTGCATGATTTTTGGCTTAGGGGTTACATTTATATAGTGTAGAATCCAAGAGTTAAACCCTAATCCACTTCCTTGGGCCTTAATCCAATAATCCTAATGATAAGCTCTTTGGACTAACTCTTCATGGAGTCTTACATGAACTTAGTCCATTACTAATCAATATGGATCATTAGCCCA